CAGTCCAATCTCAAAATCATTTTTTGCATAAAAGCTCGATTGAACCGGTCACAATCAGAAATTAAATGGTGAACGAGTGAACGGATCAGATTTTTAAGAGCCAGTCTGGTCAAATATTATATAATTTTAGTTATTTGATTTTGATCGGATGAATAGAAATTAGATATTTAAATTAAAAATAGATAAAATATTATGTCTTAAATTTTTAATTTAAAAAATTATTCAAATATTAGTTTTTGAATTAATAAAAATAATATTAATATATCATTATTCTTTTATTTAAATTCTATATTTAATTTTTTATTACATCATCCAATTTAACTAGAGTTAAACGATCAAACTTTGAATCTCCGATCCATGTTAAGTCTAATTTTCACAACTTCGCTCTAGCTTATGATTCATAATCTAATTGCCACAAATGTACACCTTCCTAAGGTAAAATCTGATAAGCAAAAATTTAAATTATTAATTTTTTTTAAATAAATATATTTTAATTTATTTCGTTGCTCAAATATAATACTTATCATAAAATAAATTCAATTATTATAAAAAAAATATATTATAAACAATTTTATTCAAAATATGCCCACTTTTTTTCTTAAACATATCGATCTCTTGAAGGAAAAATATAAATTGTGGTGACGCTTAATGATAAATATCGTCATTGTTATAACATTTCTCAATATCTTTTCTTGCTATCGGATATTTTTTTTTATTTTTTACGTACGTTAAGGAAATTAATTCGTAAATATTTGTTATCTTTTATTCATATGTTTTTTTTTTAATGATAGAATAAAATAAATTTAATAAGTTAATTTTTATCTTATATTTTTTAAGATTGAATTAATTTATTTTTAAAAACACCAAAAAAAGTTTTAGACTTTTTAGACATTCAACGTGTCGAGGTCTACAAGCTTAGCATGATCTAGCAAATCCACAAAAAAATAATAATAATAATAATAAACCCACAAGATGAGCAAATATTGTATGTGGTCTCCATAAGTCCTGATAACGGTTTGGATGGGCCGCGTGCGAATGTACAATGGGGTAGTCGCATCCGAGCTTTTGTCAAGTCATGTGAATATGGTAAGTTTTTTCCCATAAGAGACACGTGCAAGGAGAGCAAATATGGTAAATTTTTTAAATGAGATTGAATCAAATTAAAAACGTTTAATTCTGCCAAACTGTGATCACCAAATCTAAAAAGGACCACCATAAAACCTAAAAAAAGCTTAAGAGCTCAACACATTTACACATTGATCAATACTCCTAAAGTTAAAGGCATGGCCAAAAATATTTTTTAACAGGTAATCTTTATTGTTGAAGCATCTTACAATATAAATACAGATTGGCTGGGAACAATTATTGAGCTGTTTGAATATTTGATTCTTATCTATAGTGCTGAGGATAATGAGATTTTAAAGAAAAGCCGCAATGATGATCATCTATCACAATTAAGTTCTTTTTTTTTTAAGTTAAAGCAGGAATTAATTATTATTATCATTATTATTATTTGGAAGAGAAAGGAGGTAATGTAAACAAACAAAAATAAAAACAAAAAGGAATACTTCTTCACTTTGATATCAAAACTTGTAGGGTTAATTAGTTTTGATATATTTATAGGATTATAATGTTTCTTGTTTTATGAAGAGGCATTTACATATATACCAGCCAATTCTTATGTATTTACATATACGTGGGCTCCAAAAATTTGATATATCCCCAGCCTTCCTCAGAAAAAAAAAATAGTGAAATGAGACAAGTTTACCATGAAATTCCGGGGTGAATTTTAAGAAGCCAGATGAGATAGTAGATAAGATGCTACTTCAAAATTTCACTCTTCCACTTGGTACAAGCCCCTATTGTTAATTAACCCTCGTGATAATGAGAAAGCACTTTTGATTAAGGTTAGTCGTTAGATAGCTAATTACTCGTCATATATTAGCAACAGATTTAAGATTTAAGATCTATAAAATAATCATTGCGAGCATAACAGAGAATGATAGGGGAAATAATGACGCGCCCGCTCAAGATCCCAAGGTTTCGTCATCTCTGGGCGATGTGGATCCTGATCTACCTAGTCAAAGAAGTTAGTTGACCAAACCTGACATAAGGATCATTGTCAATAGTCATGGATTACTTTGTCCAAGATGATCTTGTAGACTTGGGGTGATATTTGTCTAAGGAGACTAATCTATATCGACCTTAGCTAACTGAGGAGGACTTCATGTCCTATCAAATATATCATGTGATTCATTACTCAAAAAGGCAAAATACAATTGGAGAACTAGCGGGCTGCATCTGTGACTGTAATATAATGATGTCATTTGACAACAAATCAATCGGTCTGAAGGCTCTGGTCTCTTTGTGGTGTCATTTGATGGCAAAACCACTTGAACAAATAACTCAAACCACATCTTTACTGGCACAGAGTTATTTTGAGTTTTAATTTAGTAATAAAATTAGCATGACATTGGCTCTATATGAGCTTAGGACAAAGTTAGATTTATCCACATCAACAAATGATTGTGAGGATGACTGAATTTTTTGCTCCACCTTTTAGCTATTTGATTTTTTATTTCATTTTATATATTTTGGTGATTTAATATTTGAATTTTTTTAAGTAAACCTCTTTGTTTGAAATTCAAGATGCTTATTTTTTTAGATTTAATATTTGAATTATATTTGGTTGAAATGCTTTTTTTTTTAGTTTAATTGAGCTTATTCATTTAAGCATTCAATAATCATTACTCAAGTCAACTTCATTCCCAACAACGAAGGAGACCGAACTGGCCTGGTGAGGGCTCAGTCATGTCCACTACAATCCTTCTAGGGAAATGGATCGCATTAAAGTATGGGACTTACGTTGACCTTGCCATATAAGAAAGGGGGCCTATCCAAAAGCTTGTAATTGTAATATTTTTCAATTTGCCCTTTAGAAATAGAATTTTCATTGAATTTTAAAACACACGCACATTTCTGAAGGTGGGACATTTTTGGATTTAATTTGATTTAAACCCACACACTATTCTCGAACACTAAGGATTTGAAAACTTTAGCCAAGTGACAGAGAGTACATCTGGGCATATTTTGATTTTGTGCACATTTCAAAATAATAAAATTTTATCATTTGCAAGATTTTCTTATCAGGAAAAGACATGCAAATGTTTTATTTTAAGCCCAAAACTTTGGGTCTTATGTTTGTTAGAAAGTGTGTTGTGAATGTGATGGTAATTATATCAAATTTTCATTTTTGTCTTTTGAAAATAATCACCTTCATTTCGCTAACAAATGTATTGCAAATTTGGTGGCGAGTGTTTGATCCGGTGTGTGTTCATTACAGATTTTCTTCGAGCTCGTTGATGAGTCATCGAGTCCCCTGTAAAACTGGTATATATTATTTTTAATGCATCATCTATATTTATAAGTGATCTAGTGGATTCGTTACAAGTTTCATTTGAGAGTGGTGCAGATCAATTGGCGATAATGATGAATTTAGTTTGCACGCAAAAGTTACATTTTGAAATTTTATCACCTTCTGTTTGCTAGCCAATACATCATGAATCCGGTAGCAAAAACCATGGATTTGGATTGCATGCAAAAATTTTATTTTGAACATTTACTACATTTTGATCACTAGTAAATAAATTGTTAATTCATTGGGGATTAGGGAAATATAATCTTTATTGTGCATTTTAAATATTATATTTTACTCACTTAACCCCATTTGATTGTTCAAAAAGAACTTCCCATATTTATAAGACAAGATTTCAAATAACGTTAATTGTTGATAAAAAGCCTCGTTTGCATTTATGAATGAGTTTGTTCATTGCAGGTTTCATTCGAGCTCGTTGATGAATCATCGAGTCCCTGTAAATATTGTGCTGGCTCTATTTTATTTAATTAGGTCTTTTTTTTAATTATATTGTCTAAGTCCCACTTTTTTCCTTAATTTAAAAGCTAGAAGCATCTTTTGTTTTAAATGTAATTTAATAAAAATAAGTTCAATTTGATTATTCTTTACATGCATTATTGAGACAGAATGCAAGCAGCATTTCAATAGCCTCTAAGAGTTATCCCCGTTATGGGGCCAACATAGGGAAAGTTTGGTCAAACCACCACACCTTTAGGGGCATGTAGAAGTATTTGAAACCCACCACGCTCATCGGGGGATGTATGAGGTACTTGTAAGCACACATTTGAGCACAAAGATGTATATCCCTCTTGTTGCATCGTGAGCATTGCCAATAAAGTTTTCATGCCAAGCTCTTAGGAACATTTATAAATTCATTCGTCATGATGGACATGTCCCAAAAATAATATTCACTGCGACTATTGCATATGAGCTTCTCTCGTTATGCTCTTAGGAGCATGTAAATATTCTCCTCATTACGTCGAAACCGACATAAATCAGGATGTTAGAATTTTGGAACATTGCCTTTTATATACTCGTCATATATTAGCAATGGATGGTAATGATGGGAAATTTGACTCTATAACATACAATTCCCTCTAAGTTATATATACATGCATGCATACATAAATGCACGCACACATACACACACGTGCGCGCACGCCTGCACACACACACACACACATATATATATATATTGATAAAATTGTAATTATAGTTCCATGAGTTATGAGATTCTAAAATACATTGAGATTTACATTCGATCAAATGAATTTTGTTGGTGACATATCAAACATATATACGAAAAGTTGCATAATCCGTGTTAAAAATAAATATAATAAATAAATAAATAAAAATTTTAACCTCTTTAATTAAATTAAAAAATATGTCCAACTCCTAATCAAAATATTGCATTAATGCAAAATTTTCCTAAACTTCTCATCTCCACGCCAACGACCATTTCCACACATAAAATATCTACTTTTCTTATTTTGATCTTTTTTTTTAATCCAAAAACATCTATTTTTTCCAAAATAACAATACTTACATAGCAAAAAAAATAAATATATATATTTTTAAATATTTTCTATGTTAGACCGAAAAATTTGTACCATTGGAGGCTTGTAGTCTTAAATGCCACATGGCACTTCGAGAAGGTTGCAGAATGCTTTGGTCGGATGAGGATATGATTCAGGAACTTAATGTTAATGAAGAAGGCATTTGTTACCTCATAAAGTGACCTTGCATCCCCAAAAATGAAATCAATGGAACCTTGTATGTAACATTCCTTGAAATAATGCCTCCCTGCATCATCATGAAGAGTATCCTGAGCTCCAAAGAACCCGCAACCCCAGAACGCCGCCTGGTCGCCGGCCACCCTTATCGCCACCGCCGGAGCTCCCATATCCCCGGGCTTCGCGATTGGTGCAACATTCTTTCAAAAAAAAAAATAATCCATATTTAATCAAATTCACCAAAGTTTTCGCATTTATGCACAATGATGTTCCATCAATTATGTATTTACCATAAAGCTTATGTTCTTCGCAATGAAGTTATCTCCGAACACAGATGCGGACGCGCTGTAGAAGGTTCCGCCGGAGGAATTGGCGGTGCCGTTCCACACTATTGCGGTGGACTCCATGCCTTGTCCTTGCAGCGTTATGTTCGTCTTTGTTTTTGGGATTATTACCTTCTCACTAAAATATTTATATTTATATATATACATATATATATATATATATATATATATACAAATATTTTGCTAGTGCTAGTCAACACCAACAATAGGTGCACAAACTAAGTTATATATATTAAGGTGATAGCTTCTATAAAAAATAATGACATCCTAAAAGAAATCTTAGTCCACCCTTGGCACGACATCACTCCAAAAAAAACCAATTAGTCTTTCAAAGTCATCAATTTGGACATCACATGTTTTTTTTTCTTGTTTAGGATTTTCTCCCTCTTTGTGTGCTCGCCTTCTTGTTGTCGACAGGCTCCACGCACAACGCACTTTTCAGAATGTTGAATCCAAAACTTTCATGTGAGTGCTCAAGGCCTACAACTTGGCAACCAAGTTAGGGGGAGTTGAGAGCGAAAGAGTGAGATTTGCTCCGTGGGGTGCAAAGAGGGATGCTCTCGAGCTCTTTGGCCCTTTATTTCTTAGCAAATAAAAGATATAAGAGAAGGGAAGGGGAGAATGATCTCCCTACAAGGGGGTTGAGAGAGAGGAGAATCCCATGACCATTTAACATAAGTCATGGGCACTCTATTTATAGCAGATAAAAGGAAAGAAATAAAATACTACATTTTTACTCTTGCTTTAAAAATGGTAGTACAGGTATTTTGGTCCATTCCTCGCTCAGATCTGTCCTTCTGAACCTTTTTGGCATGATTCGTCGGCATCGGGCAAACAACCAATGTTGCCGACCGGTTGGATGTTGTTGGCCGACCCATGGGGCCAGTCAGTTCGTGATGGTCGGTCAAGGCTGCCAACCGGTAGGAGGTGGGTGGTCAGCCCAATGTCGGTTGGCTAGAAGTGAGTGGTCGGCCCAATGTGATCAACTGACTAGAGGCAGGTGGCCAACCCAATGTGTTCCACCAGTTGGGAGAAATGGTTGCCTGTGGTTCATCCAACCTGGCGAGCGCTGACATTTTGTTGAATAAATTCAAAAAAATTTGCCCCATCACGATGTGCGCCGCTCGATTCGGATGTGAGTAAACACGATTGAATTGTCTCAACGATTCAGATGTGTTCGCACACTTTGTTTTGAGATTGGAGTTCATTTAACCAATATAAAAAATATCGAGGTAAATCAAGTTCAAATTGTGTGTCGCGGTGATGATTCATCCTCTTCATTGTGCCTGCTCTTTTTTATCATAAAAGTTAATTTCTTGGCTATTTTGTCCCTTAGATAATTTTGTGATCATCGTATTTGTCGACCATCATTTTATCTTGTCTTAAACTGATTCAACTAGTGAAATATACAACCAGGTTTTTCATATCACATCAAAATACCACTTATTTTAATTTTTAAATGTGAAAAACATCTTTTCATGTATACATAAGCTGCCATATAAGTTTAATAATTGATCTTTAGGTGATAGATATGTCAATAAATAAAACTTGAGTGGTATGTATGTAAATCTTCCTTTCAGTAATCAATTTCTCATAAATATTATTTATATTTTACAACAAAATGTTACAGTATTTTTCACTTTTATTAAATATATAATAATAACATCATTATAAGTACAAATGCATAAGTTAAATAATTTGTTTTTTTTAAATGGATATTATATTTATATTTAAGGGTTCCAGTCACTAGTAGGGCTGTCAAGATGGCTCGTTAACAAATGACTAGTGTTTGATTTATTTGTTAAGCAAACGAGCTGAACATGAATTTTTTTTTTTTTTGCGTTTGATATACAAATGATTCAAACACGAACAAACAGTATGTTCATTCGTGTTCAACTCATTTTGATTTGAGCGTTCGATATACAAATGATTCAAACACGAACAAAAAGTATGTTCATTCGTGTTCAACTCATTTTGATTTGAAATAATTAAATTGCATATATATATATATATATACGAGCTCCAGCCATCCTTAGGTGTGCCAAATATTCAAGAACCACACCCTACACACATGAGGATTCAAACCTGAAACCTGAGGGGTCTTACGATCTTCAGAGAGGTTGTTCTACCAACAGGCCACGTTACGCCCCCGTATATACCTATATATATTGTGTTATTTGCGCCGTGTACTCCGAACAATTGGTCGGGCATCTGTTTGTCAGTTGTAATTCCCCTTTGGTCTGGGGTTCGATCCCCGCCGGTGGAGTTTGTGGTATTCAAATTGTTGTGTATTGGGGATGGTCAGGGCTCATATAATAGCCTCAGGTCATTCCTTTGAAAAAAAAAAAAGAAATAAATAGTGTTATTTTCAAATTATTTAATTGACTACACGGCTACAAAGATTTATAATCAATTAAAATTACTATTTTAAAAATAGAATAAAAATATAATAACTTCTATTTAAATGAATCTTTTAATATAATAACAATATTTAAATCTAGCCCACCCTTAACATCGTACAGTCGTGTGATTAAGGTTGTCAGAATGGCTTATTGTTTGTGAACAACTTGTATTCGACTTGATAAACAAACAAGTCAAACATGAACAAATTTTTTGAACACGATATATAACTGAGTCAAACACGAACAATAATATTTTTTAACGAGCCAAACATAAGCCGAGCCTAGGCTCGCTCAAAGTTGGCTCATTTACAAGCCTAACGGTTGAGTGATTAGGGTTGTCAAAACGATTATTTGTTCACGATCAGCTTATGTTCTGCTCGCTAGCTAAGCAAACAACCAGAACACGAACAATTTATTTGTGTTTGAAATATAAACGAGCCGAACACGAACAATGGTAATTTTAACAAGCCGAATACAAACTGAGCTCGAGCTCACGCTCGCTCGTGTTTCGCTCATTTGTACCCTAAGCCACTAGCTAGCACCAGTTGGGTGACACCAGCAAGCCGGAAATAAGCCCACACCACGCGCTCTATAACTTTAGGCCACACACTTGTGCATGAAAATTGTAGTAAAAAAAGAGGAAAAGTTTACATTGCTAGCTCACGCTTTTTATGTATTTACATCTCATACCTAAACTTTAATATTTACATACATAACACTCGTGCTTTAAACTAATGCATGAAAATGCATACTTGACTTCTAAAAAGTGGTACGAGTACAATTTTTTTATGTGATATTAAATATTTGAGTGCTATGGGTGTAAATATGGTGTAAATATGAAAGTTTAGTGTGATATTAAATATTTGAGTGCTATGGGTGTAAATATGAAAGTTTAGGTGTGAGATATGTAAATACATAATAAATGTGTGATATGTATGTAAATGCCCCTTTTGGTAATCCTAAACCCATCGTTATTTGTAATCCTGAAGTCAAAAACGACATGCACATAAAATATAGCACTTCCCGTTTCATGATCAAATCAAAGCTATAAATAAATAAAGTATCTTCGGAAATCAAGCCAAGTCAAGCCAAAGCAAGTATCATATAAATATTGAACAATATGACCAATTACAAGCGAAAGCAGCTAATATCTGACATGTTTCAATTACAATCGAGAAGCAGATAAAAGCTATGATGAAGCATATATGTACATAAACACGAAAGTCAAGCTTCAGGAGAAGATACGTTTGATAATTACTCGATTTCTCTGATGTTCAAAACAGCCGATTAAACTAATGTTGTACAGGCAAACAAAGGGGATTTAGGTTGATGTTCAGTTTATATTTCAATTAGACTGAGGCTGGCGAAGATGCGATCTTCTTTCTTTTGTTTAAACTGCAACACAAGCAACGCACGCTCAGCTATTTCTTGTTCAAAAATTTTAGTGAACCTCCTTGGAGCATATATAATTTTAAATTTTTTTGAAATCCATTCAATATAGAAAATCAAATTCAAAATCAAAACTTCTAAGTTCAGTTACTATTCGAGCGTAAACGAAGATCATATCATGCTAAAATATATACTGAAGACCCCTAACGAGCATGAATTAAGGCATTAAGTGGCAGCCGGCACCTTTTGCTAAAATAATGTTAGTTTTGTGGAGCCAAAGTACCCAAATGTCTAAGCTCTAGACCGAACGCTCGGCGCCTAAGTGAAGGGAATGGGCACTCAAGCGCCCACCTTGTTGGGTGCAAACCTAGCTATGGGTGCCTAAGCGCCAACAGAGAAGCTGGCGCTCAAGCGCCAGTCTTGGGCACTCAAGCACCCAATGTGTTGGGCGCGATCTAAGCCTTGGAAGCTTAGGCACCAAGACCAAGCACTTAAGCGCCCAAAGCAGTTAGCTCGTATTTTTCGGTTTTAAGGCCAATTTCGAGCGACGATGGAGATGGTTCCTTTGCAAGTTTCTTTGACAACTTCCTAGTGAATGAGTAAAAGGTCGGAGAAGAGGATTTCTGGAATCTCAGCGTTCGTTTTTCACGTTGGATCAGAGCAAGAAAAGTTTAGAGTACGAGTCCTATAAGTTTCCTTGTGTGTAAAGAGAAAAGTAGTGTGAGTTCTTTGTAAATATTTTCTAAATTTCAAAGTGAAATTTTTGGTGGTGTGACTCCATAATTTTTTTTCTATTCGAGGGTTTTCCCACGTAAATTTTCGAGTATTTTTCTAGTTACTTTGATTGTGTTTTCTATTTAGAGTTTGTTTTGGTTTTCTCGAATTGTGATCTCGTTATTCCGCGGTGTGGCTTAGTTTCTAATTAATCCTAAGCTCGGTAGAGTTAAGGAGTTGTTTGGTATATTTCCTATCAAACTGGTATCAAAGCAGGATTTGATTCAAGTGAGAGCAATGGCCAAATAAGAAAGGTTCAAAGTGGAGAACAACCTTCACTTTCTAGAAGATGCAGATAGAGAATTTGTTGTATCTGAAAAAACTATACTTGCAACTACAAGGAATTATAAAGAAGCCTGAATCTATGCCTATGGAGGAATGAGAATTGTTGAATCAAATGACGTTAGGTTTGATCCAGTTGTCACTTTCATAAACTGTTGCATTCAACATTGTGAATGAGAAAGCTACGACGGATCTCATGACGGCATTGGTCAAGATGAACGAAAAACCTTCTGCTTTCAATAAGGTTTTCTAGATGAAGAAATTATTCAACATGAAGATAGTGGAAGACAGTTTAGTGGAAGAACATCTCAATAACTTCAACAGTGTGACGAGCCAGTTGTGTTCTGTGGGGATTAAGTTTGACGATGAGGTCAGAACACTGATGATACTATCTTCATTGACAAACAACTGAGATGGTTTGATAACGGCGGTGAGTAATTCTTCAGGAACTTTGAAGTTTAACTTTGAAGATATCGTGGATCTGATGCTGAATGAAGAAGTTCGCAGAAAAAGTTGTGAGGGATGTATCTTCAGATTCTTCATTGAATGCTAATAACAGAGGAAAAAATCTGGGCAAAAAATACAGGCAGAGGTAGATCCAAGTCCAAGAAAGAAAAGCTCAGTTCAAGTAGCAGAGAATGTTGGAACTGTGGTAAGAAAGGACATTTCAAGAAGGATTGCAAAGCTCCAAGGAAAGCTGGTGGAGGAGGATAGAAAAATAGTTTCTCTATTAATGTCTCCACTGGTGAAATCCAAAATGACTCCCTGGTGTTATCCCTAGTTAGTACTTCTCTTTTCATACTTGTCTGAATAAAGAGTTATTTAAAAAATATACTCAAGAGTGATCTAGGGAAGACTTATTTGGAAGAAAACAAGGCCTACAGTATAGTGGGAAAATGTGATGTTGATATCAGATTGCCGAATGAAACAGTTTGAATGCTTACTGAAGTCAGACATATTCGAAAGTTTGAAGAGATTTCATCTCTGTGAGCCAGCTAACAAAGTCAGGACTCGTTACAACTTTTACACGTGATTCATGGAAGGTGATCAGGGGGCATTAGTGATGACTCGAGGAAACATTGAAAGCACTCTTTATTTAATCAATGAAATAACTGATTTTATTGATGTGGTTGGAACCGGGGTGGATACACCGCAGGCTTGACCAAATGAGTGAGAAAAGTATGAAGTCTCTACTTTCAAAGAATAAGCTTCAGGATTTGCAATTAATTGATCAGGAATTCTGTGAAGATTATATATATAGCAAGCAGAATAAAGTTTCTTTCTACAAGAGCGGGTCAATGGTAAAGTCAAAGAAACTGGAGTTAGCGCATACTAATGTATGGGGTCCTACTCCATTTCAGCTCATTGGAGGTTCTAGCTATTTTGTCATGTTCATTGATGAATATACGAGAAAGATATGAGTTTATTTTTTAAAGCCAAAATCTGATGTATTTGAAGACTGTTAGAAGTAGAATACTATGATAAAAAATGAGACAAACTTAAAGCTGAAATATCTCAGATCAGAAAATTGAGGCGCGTATCGTGATCAGAAGTTCAGGAATTTATGTGCTACAGAAAAGGTCAGGCATGAATTCACTTGCCCAAGAACATCGCAAAAGAATGATGTGGTTGAGCGTGTAACCAGAACAAATATGGAGCGTGATAGGAGCATGAGCTTGCACGCAGGCTTGCCAAAACAATTTTGGGTTAAAACAGTAAACATTGTAGCTTATACATTAGTACCTTTAAAGAAAGACTTAACTGAAGAATCTTGGAGTGACAAAGAGGTATGTCTCTCATTTAAGAGTATTTGGGTGTTCTGCATACGTGCATGTTGATGCAGGGTCCGGAAACAAACTTGACTCGAAATATGTCAAGTGCAGCTTCATTGGATGTGACTCAGATGAGTTTGGATACAAGTTATGGGATTATCAGAATCAGAAATTCATCCGAGAAATGGGGCGCTTGCTTCCAGAGAAATGGGCGCCCGGAGCAGTTTTCATGAGAACTGCTATTTATGTCATGATTTCAGGCAGCGTATGTGTGGGCTTGGAGCGTAACTCTTCTTGTTTGTTCATCAAATGTGTGGGCTTGGAGCGTAACTCTTCTTATTTGTTCATCAACAAAATCCAGGTAAAAGTGAGAAGTGTTGGCAAGAAGAATTCTGATGTTTTTGATTGGCATTTCTATGTCAGATCAGTAGGAAGAGTGTGAAGTGGTGCACTGTAAGTTTTTTCATGTGAGTGTGCAGAAGAAACTTGTGTGAATCATTTGCAAAACTTTCTGAAATTCATAGTAAAATTTGTGATGATGTGGTTCTGTGGCTTTTTTTAACTTTTTTAGGCTTTTCCACGTAAAATTCCTATGTTCTTTTCTGGTTATTTTTTTAATTGTGCTTCTGGTTTAAATTTTTTGTTCCAATTTTCTCAAATCCTGTGATCCTATTCCGCAGTGACATTGAGAATTGTTTGGAGGATTCCCAACAAAAGGTAGAACTACCTTGGCCATGGCATATACCCAATTTTGTCACTAAGCTATTCGCCACATCACAAGAATAAGGATTTAGTGGCCAACAAAGTTGTCAATCCTTATGGTCAAGCATGGATCTTTGAGACCAACATCACTTGTCTACAGGTAACTTCCTCCTATTGATACAATGACTTCAAGCTAAGGTAGAGAATAGAGAGCACTTGTACCAGAACATTAGGAGAGTGGGTTGGTTGGTGCTCTACTTTATCTATTGTCAGTGATTAGTAAGAATGATGCTTCAATGAGATTGAAGCACCGGTCAACAGAACTCACTATTGTTATAATGCCTTTCAAACATGGCGACCCTATTAGATTCAATGTAATGCACTTCTAAGTTTTAACAACCTCAACATCTTATACAGATGAAGTATGGAAAACATTATGAGATATAATGTGTTGCACTCCTAGTGACCTGAAGCTCTTGTAAATAATATTTAATAACTATACAATTGCCCCCAATTCAGCAGATAACGCATATATCCAACTACTCTAGTGAGGATTCTTGTTTTGTGCCGAACATGCGTCCAAAATATTGTGTCCACTCACAAGTCCCGGAAAGGAGAGTCCGCGCAACATCTATTATCACTGCAAGTGACATATTCTTACATTCCATCTTAGGAATAGGTCACGTAGCATAGGCCTAACAATCAAGGAAACAAGATGAAGAAGGCATCACTAAATCCAATCCCCCCATGTTAGAATGTTCTCCCTCGTTGGGAGGAATGGTCGCACCCAAAACCAATAAAAAAAAAAAGCAAAGATAAATTGTTAGAAGTACTTTTAGATTGTGCTTTTGTATTATTCCTTTATAGTTAAGTAGTTTCCTACGAGGGACCTATTTTAAATGGATCCAGTAGAGTGAGCCATCTATTTTGTTCCTCTAATGAAAGCTTTGACAGTACATCTTGTTGATCAATGGAAGAAATTAAGATTTTAATGAGTAGGGCTCAACGTTAATTTACATGCCAAGGACGAGAGGCAATTTGACTTTAAAGGAAGGGAAAAATCACTTCATGCTTCAAAAAACCTTGAAAAATTCATCTCCCTCTCTCTGCTAGCCTTACAACTTCAAGATGCCAAGTCATCCAAAATACGACCCTTATTGTTGAGATCTTCAATCTCACAAAGTGGTGCCAAGAGCTAACTCTAACCTTCTGATGTCTTGCCCAATTAGCGATGACATATAAGATTCTGATTGATTATCAATCTCTCCCCATAGAGGGAGAGAGTTCAAAAACACTTATCTAGAGGGTAAGGTTTGTGTCCTAGCAAGCCAACAAAAACATAGGTTAAGAGTTCCCTTCATTTTAGAAATGAAAATTATTCTAAAAATTATAGGAAAGAAAATGACTCAACGAGGGACCGTAGTGCACAGAGATCTTCGAAACTCAGGTCTTTCTCTCCATCAGTTGTTCGCACTCAAAATCCAAGCTGAGCCTCCATTTCTTCATCGTGACTGAAAAACTCACGATACATTCACAGCTGGGGGTAGCGAGGAAGCCAATCAATATGGTGAGCAAATTCTAAAAAACTGCCACCCTACTCATAATTCCTGGTACTACATTATTACTCATCTAAGCTTCCTGACAAATATTTTGTCTGCTACACAAATTATTTGGATAATCCCATGTCTTATAATATTTTGTCTGCTAAACAAGCTGAACTGGATCCAAGCTGTGGGACTAAATTGAAAATTTCAAAGAACCTCATCAGGATTAAACCCCCAAATCATGCGCTAGTGTCACTAAAATAAGTTCCCACGAATCAATAGAAGCATAGGAACGAAATCAACTCATCGGATAAGCTTCTCACTTTTAGAACATCTTATTGATTTTAATACTGAGATGTGTTGCTACCAATAAAGGAATGGAAGGGACGCTATCCTCACCTCCACTCATGATTTACTTGGCTCTGGAAGAGTGATCAAGCGTACTCTGGAGTCATACAACATTGCAGTACCACAGCTGCAAAAAAAAAATTGCTCTTTTATCTAGTTCAGAAAAGTGTTAACAGTGCAAATAATAAAAGGAACTATTTACAACTTACTTCGAGCATTTCACAGTATTTTCAGTGCCGCCACTAGGGATTGAAAGTATAGTCCCAAAGAAAGAGAGGTTTTCAACTCCACAATTTGGGCATGGCCCCTGCATATGAAATGCATCAGTCAGGAGACGCATCAATCAGTTAGGGAATGTTGGGTAACTCGAAAAAAAGATAAAAATAAAGGTTAACGTCTACCTTCAAGATCAAGAAGTCTTTAAAAATGAAACTGGTAATTGATTGAGCCAAAAAAAATATTAGAGGCAAAGCAGCAAACCAAGTGAAAATGAAGCTGAATGGTTCCGGAAGCTGTGTTTATACAATGAGATTGAAAAAAAAAATCAGAAGAAACATCCAAAAAAAAATTAAACAGAAGAGAAAAAAGGTAGCACAAGACAGTAAAGAGGTTTAAAAGAACTGGCAGTGTAAGAAAGCTACGTTGGATACATGGAAGGTTAACAACAAAAAACAGATGAGTAATTGCTAGCTAGAGTTACTCGTAAGCAAGCTCCATTTCAGTGAAATGTCCAAGAGAATTCAAGAGTTCCGATACAGGAAGACTTTAGCAAGAAACTAGCAGAGAAATTTAACCAAATAGGTTGCATCATTTTTTTAAATTTACATATGTATAAGAAGGTACAGAAATAGTAGCGCCATGGAAACAAAACTGCAACTGAAATCTCTCCAGGCTAGGAAGACTTGAGATAAAGCTACAGATCCCCAAGCCGTCCATAAATGAAAGATCAAAACAGCTAGTTTTGTCAAATAATTTGCTTAGAACAATGTTGTTACTAAGATATTTTCTTTTCTTTTCTCTTTCTTTTTCTTTTTTTTTTGCATATTGACAGTTAAATGTTTACAACAAATTGAACATGAGTGGAATTGCATAATTCGATCCAGGATGAAAAATCTTTCTTGTAAATATTCTCAACCATAACGAATTTTTGTGATATAAGATGAAACAGCAAGAGATGAGTAAAGTACTTCGTATGCAACCCATATCTTAGCAAGGAAATGCAGAATAAATTATGAACATTTCCAGTAGTGATAAATTTCTATTAGCATAAAGTAGGCAAGACAAATAAGAAGGATTATTTCCTCTTATAACCACAAAGTTACACAATGGATGCCTATTATTAATGATTTTTAATCTAGAAAGCTTACCTCCAGAAGATAGGTAATCTCAAAACCAGTCAAATCATCAAGAAAGAAAAACCTGTGGAAGAAAAAACAAAATAGTGTGTCTGCTAGGAAAAATATCTGCCTTCTCAAACAACAAAATGTTAATTAGCAAGCAAGCAGGAACACAAATATGCAAAAAGAAAAAATAATTATGACAGGAAACATCATATGGCCCAGTGAATAAATAGTGAGAAAATTTTCAGATAACAGAAAATTTGTACTAAAAGGACTTGTTGTCATACAATATGGTAACGCTTGAAGCTTTTATTTAATCCTTATTCAAACATTCACATGGATTATGGAACTTGGGAGTTTTCAGCAGATCATAAGCGAATGTGGCAACCAACTGCAACTGTGTAATGTTTATCTTCATAAATAGGATTAGCCAAACTAGCAAAGCACGCCTCAAGGAAAAAAATTCAAAATTATATAATATTGAGGTATATGGAAGCTTTTTGCAGATAATCAGGGATGAAATACAAAATGACAAGTGTGGTGTGTTAAATAATTCTAAGGGGGGAAAAAAAAAAGAAGCAATCCCCAGCTAAACTTGAAAAAAATCACAGCATTACATTCATTTTCCAAACCCAAAAAAAGAAGCTTGCAATGACACGGCTAGAAAAGGGATAAAATGAAGAAATTAAATAATTTGTTAAAGAGAAAACTCGGAGAGCATAAAGAAAGGATAACACACTAAAAACCAAACAAGTTAAATCCCCAAATAAATGATGATAGATTGATATCCACATTCAAGTTAATCCTAACGATGCCTTACAAGGAACAACTACGGCCATAGTGAAAGCAATGGAAATGAAGATTTTCATGTTAGCAAATACAAGCATATGAAGCATTTTGAAGATGAGGGAAAAAAGAACTCTCCATTGTTTGACTAGAGGCTATGGAGATGACTGGAACCAAATGGGTTGAGCCTCAAGGCATTGCAGTCATTATCCATAATGGTTTAAAATGCAGCCAACTCGGTAAAGTAATGAAACATTCAGGATAAGTTTTGTAACACCAATATAAAAATGAGGGAGTCGGCTAGCATCAGTTCTGAGCAAACAATTCGTGTGATTATCCAAGCAAGACAAAGATGAAGAGTCGGCTCCATATTGTTAAGAAGGAAAAACAGAAAAAGGGGTGTGATGAGAGGGAGGAGACGAAGCGAGGGAGACAGCAAACAATTTCATCTTTCTAAGGGGATGTTTGGTTGCACCTAGGATTTAAGTTAAATAGAATTTAGTAAATTCGATAAATCCATATTTATTAAATCCAGAGAAGTGTTTGGTACAATTATGGTTGCACCTAGATAAATCATCAAAGCATGTTTGACACCTTATTTCAAGATTTAACACTCAGCTGGTTTAAAAACAAGCTCGAAAGCTAAAAGCTCAGATCCCTTGGTTGGGTACCCACAATTCTTCCATTGTGCTCTCAAAGAAGTATGGAGCCAATGTTGTGCTACCGGAGGTAACCCAAACCATAATAAAAAATATTATTACTTGAAGTAAATGAGCAGTTACAATCATCACACTTGAAAAAAAAAATATAATAACACAAAATCCAAAAATAAAAAGTAGTAGCAAACACGACACCAATAATCAAAGTAGGGTAGAATCTCGGGACGGTGGTGGTTATCGGTGAGGGTTTTAGCCCTACAACGAGGTAGAAAAGAGTGGGTAAGGCTGGAAGGCACCGCGACTGCAAATGGTGTTGACAGCGGCAGCGAAGGGGAGGAACTGTGGCAAGGACAGCAAGTTGGAAGCAGATGAATTGATGGTTGGGTAGCTGGAACAGTAGAAAACAGCAGAAAAAGGTTGTTCCCGGGCGTCTACAGCGAGGGGTAATGTCAGAGGAAGCGACGAGCGATGTGGGAAATTGCAGGATAGCAAGAGGACGGCTGTCTGGGGTGGCAGCAAGAAGGACAAGTGGCTGGATTGTGAAAACTGCAGGGAAAACAGCAAAGTGCGACTGTTTGGGGGTGGCTACAACAATGGAGGGCAATCGGGAGCACCTTGGGGAGGATGTGGAAATGGATAGTAAAAATAAGCACGACCTCGAGAGAGTAGTACAGCCGAAGCACCACCCAAGCCCTTGGATACAACCCTCGAAAGGAGAAACGAACACTGGCGGCTAGAATCTGAGCCAAAATTAACTTTTGATTGAATTTCAAAACGTAATACAACACATATATAAGAAAGAACTGAAAGGGAATGAAGGATAATATGAAAGAAAGCATAAAAATAAATAAATGAATGATTCAACCCGTTTCTTACTATTGTGAAATCCTGCAGTCCTATAGCTGCTTGCGCATCAATCTCTCGGGTTGGGAGAGCTTCAACCTCATCAGTTAAAGCTTCTATCTCCTCATCATATGACATCAGAACGATCGCATTGAAGGTGGTAGAGATGTTGTAATCTAACGATAAGTAAATCATGTGGCATTGACATTCCAAAGCATGTCTTGATAGAATATGTATTAATCCTACTTCGGCACAATTATAATCGGAACTGTACATGAATGATATCCTCACAAACCAAGCCTCGAGAAATTAAATTAGTAATTGGCTTCTTCGACTATTTGTACTCAATTAAGTACATCTGATAAACAAGTATGTAAGGATAAATCAACTCTGGGATGAAATCTATGATATGTTGAACCACACTGAAGTATAACCACTCAAAAGATGATTATTCTTATCTAAAAGGACCAAGATCCTATTGTAGGATGTTCCTTCTTAAAAAAACTCCTAAGACAATTTCCAACACTGTGGTTCATCCATCCGGCCTGATAAGTTCTTAATAGGTATACTGCTAAAGGATGTTCCTTCTTAAAAAAACTTCTACGACAATTTCCAACACTGTAGTTCATCCATCCTGTCTGATCAGTTGTTGATAGGTAAACTGCTGAACTGAATTTAATACCATAGCGACTCCTTATGGGCTTCCAGAAAAGACAAAACAGTTTTTTTAAGGAAAAAATTCAAAATTATATAATATTGAGGTATATGGAAGCTTTTTGCAGATAATCAGGGATGAAATACAAAATGACAAGTGTGGTGTGTTAAATTATTCTAAGGGGGGAAAAAAAAAAGAAGCAATCCCCAGCTAAACTTGAAAAAAATCACAGCATTACATTCATTTTCCAAACCCAAAAAAAGAAGCTTGCAATGACACGGCTAGAAAAGGGATAAAATGAAGAAATTAAATAATTTGTTAAAGAGAAAACTCGGAGAGCATAAAGAAAGGATAACACACTAAAAACCAAACAAGTTAAATCCCCAAATAAATGATGATAGATTGATATCCACATTCAAGTTAATCCTAACGATGCCTTACAAGGAACAACTACGGCCATAGTGAAAGCAATGGAAATGAAGATTTTCATGTTAGCAAATACAAGCATATGAAGCATTTTGAAGATGAGGGAAAAAAGAACTCTCCATTGTTTGACTAGAGGCTATGGAGATGACTGGAACCAAATGGGTTGAGCCTCAAGGCATTGCAGTCATTATCCATAATGGTTTAAAATGCAGCCAACTCGGTAAAGTAATGAAACATTCAGGATAAGTTTTGTAACACCAATATAAAAATGAGGGAGTCGGCTAGCATCAGTTCTGAGCAAACAATTCGTGTGATTATCCAAGCAAGACAAAGATGAAGAGTCGGCTCCATATTGTTAAGAAGGAAAAACAGAAAAAGGGGTGTGATGAGAGGGAGGAGACGAAGCGAGGGAGACAGCAAACAATTTCATCTTTCTAAGGGGATGTTTGGTTGCACCTAGGATTTAAGTTAAATAGAATTTAGTAAATTCGATAAATCCATATTTATTAAATCCAGAGAAGTGTTTGGTACAATTATGGTTGCACCTAGATAAATCATCAAAGCATGTTTGACACCTTATTTCAAGATTTAACACTCAGCTGGTTTAAAAACAAGCTCGAAAGCTAAAAGCTCAGATCCCTTGGTTGGGTACCCACAATTCTTCCATTGTGCTCTCAAAGAAGTATGGAGCCAATGTTGTGCTACCGGAGGTAACCCAAACCATAATAAAAAATATTATTACTTGAAGTAAATGAGCAGTTACAATCATCACACTTGAAAAAAAAAATATAATAACACAAAATCCAAAAATAAAAAGTAGTAGCAAACACGACACCAATAATCAAAGTAGGGTAGAATCTCGGGACGGTGGTGGTTATCGGTGAGGGTTTTAGCCCTACAACGAGGTAGAAAAGAGTGGGTAAGGCTGGAAGGCACCGCGACTGCAAATGGTGTTGACAGCGGCAGCGAAGGGGAGGAACTGTGGCAAGGACAGCAAGTTGGAAGCAGATGAATTGATGGTTGGGTAGCTGGAACAGTAGAAAACAGCAGAAAAAGGTTGTTCCCGGGCGTCTACAGCGAGGGGTAATGTCAGAGGAAGCGACGAGCGATGTGGGAAATTGCAGGATAGCAAGAGGACGGCTGTCTGGGGTGGCAGCAAGAAGGACAAGTGGCTGGATTGTGAAAACTGCAGGGAAAACAGCAAAGTGCGACTGTTTGGGGGTGGCTACAACAATGGAGGGCAATCGGGAGCACCTTGGGGAGGATGTGGAAATGGATAGTAAAAATAAGCACGACCTCGAGAGAGTAGTACAGCCGAAGCACCACCCAAGCCCTTGGATACAACCCTCGAAAGGAGAAACGAACACTGGCGGCTAGAATCTGAGCCAAAATTAACTTTTGATTGAATTTCAAAACGTAATACAACACATATATAAGAAAGAACTGAAAGGGAATGAAGGATAATATGAAAGAAAGCATAAAAATAAATAAATGAATGATTCAACCCGTTTCTTACTATTGTGAAATCCTGCAGTCCTATAGCTGCTTGCGCATCAATCTCTCGGGTTGGGAGAGCTTCAACCTCATCAGTTAAAGCTTCTATCTCCTCATCATATGACATCAGAACGATCGCATTGAAGGTGGTAGAGATGTTGTAATCTAACGATAAGTAAATCATGTGGCATTGACATTCCAAAGCATGTCTTGATA